CGTGATTTTTTTTCCTGCAATATCACATCAATATTCAAAAGCCGCATATCTAATTTTTGGAAGAATTTACATGCAATATTTTCTTTCCTTTCAGTGCAATTCAAACGCAGACTGCTAGTTGGCAGGAGTGTGCCATGGGATTTATTTCCACCATTGCTTGAAATGTAAATCCCTCTATTATGGTTCAGAAACCTCATGTTAAACTTGTTAAGTATCAGTTTGGATTGTTTATTGAATTTTCCTACAATAAATTCTGTCAAAAAAATCACTAATAAAGTCTGATTGAATGTATCGCAATATATCATGACACATTGTATCGTGTCCTTTGTATCGCCAGAATTTCACCTACACATATCCCTTCTAATGAGTAGGGCTCATGATCCTATTGACCCCCCCCCCCCCCCCCCCCCCTCTCTCTTAAAGAAGACGCTACAGGTCTGTGAGAGCCAGAGATTTTCCTTGTTTGAAGTGACCAAATACTTATTTTCCACCCTGATTTACAAATAAATTCTTTAAAAATCCTGCCATGTGAATTCATGAATTTTTTTTTTCACATTCTGTCTCTCACAGTTGAAGTGTACCCATGATGTAAATTACTGACCTCTGTCATCATTTTAAGTGGGAGAACTTGCACAATCGGTGGCTGACTAAATACTTTTTTGCCCCACTGTAAAGGATGGCTTGCCAGGGTAAGACGCTAAAGTGTTTGTTACGACCCGGCTCGTGGGACCACAGCATAAGGAGGAGGTTTGGACACACGGTGCGAGTTTAAGAGTATTTTTATTTTAAATCAGCCTCCAAAGTGCCACACAGGCAAGCACTCCCAAAGGTGCTGTGTCTGATCTGTCTGATCTCCCTCCAAGTTGCACCCACAGGTGCAGCCACTTAGTGCACATGCAGGCTGCAGACAGCCAGACCAATGACAAGGCAGAAGGGTGTAGGCAGGACACAGCAGCATTTGTTTGCAATTTGGATGGGTCCTTTGATGCTCCCACTGGCAGGGCCGTAACAGTGTTAATGAATGAGTGATGAGCGAATGATCAGATCAGTCACATTTCATTTCTCATAAAAGAGTATTTATGATTGGGTTTATTTTTTTCTTGTCAGAATGAGTTATTGTTAAAGAAGGTATCGCCCCAGGGCTTTCTGTGGAAACATTTCTTTGTAAAAAGGCAAATTAAAAATATTACATAAACGATGTGTCATCCATGTTAAAACACCACCACCTTTTCTTCTTTTACATGTGTTTTCTGGGTAGTTCTATGTGTTCTCTTTGGTTAATTCCATCATTTTATTTTGGGCTCACCAAGAAACAATCAATCATCTATTTCAGTCATGTTTCACCAAAAGTTGTTTTCATTGTTTGTTACCAAGCAACAATGCTACAGAGGTTTAGTCACGCCAGCGATCAAAAGTATGTCTCTAATACTTTCAGTTTGTTGTTATTACGGAACAAAAAAGTCCAAATCTGTAATGATAGTTTATTTTTTAAAGAGTGAATGATGTCTGTTTGAGTGTTAAAGAGACACATGTGAGCACAACAGGAGCTGACAAAAGCAACCGAGTCAGTGGAGAAGAAAACAAGCTGCTGCAGGCTGGAGACAGAATGATGAGGAAGAGAGAAACTGAAGGATGGACGGATAAAAGGCTTTCTGGACCTCTAGTTCAACGCTCAGCAGTCTTAGTTTGGTCAATGACCCAAATCCCAATGTCCTTAGTAACACACACACACACACACACACACACACACACACACACACACACACACACACACACACACACACACTGCATTGACGGGATAAGTGGTTTAGATCCACTTAGACGAGAGGTTGTGGTTAAAGGACAATAGGAGTGTGTGTGTGTGTGTGTGTGTGTGTGTGTGTGTGTGTGTGTGTGTGTGTGTGTGTGTGTGTGTGTGTGTTGCAGAGCATGAAAGAATCATGGATCAATGTGTTTCTTTGTGTCTTGAGGTGAACTTGAGGAAGAACACAAAAACACCTCCAACATCAGCGATCACCTTCAGTAGAGCTTAAGAGTGCGAGTCCAAAATCAGGCTGAAAGGACGTTTCCTTCACAGCAAACAGTGAAGCTGGGCTTTCTTGTAAATGTGTGCAGGTCAGAACATGAACATGTTTTCATAACTGCAGGATATGAACACATTATGGTATCAGATTGGGTCAATACAGATAAAAACATCGCGTCCACAACAGGTAATATATGCTGATCACAGCGAGTGTTGGTAGGCAGGATAAACTCTAACCAGATAGATAAGCTTAATCTAAACTTGGTGTTTAATCAATCAATCAATTGGACTTTATTGTCACTTCAGCCATATACGGTTTGTACACAGTGAGGCGAAACAACGTTCCTCCAGGACCAAGGTGCTACATGCAACATAAATTTACAACATAAAATAACAGGGAAATCACTAAACTATCTAATTAAGGACAGAACAGACTGACCTAATATGACATGACCTCTCCAAGTAGGTAGTGCAAAGGAAAAACCCTAAAACAAACATATGTAGGTGGTGAAGGAACAGTAAACATGCAAAAATAAAGCATTAGCTGGTTAATATTTAAGTCCAGCCTCCATGCTTTGAGGTAGTTGAGTTGAGCTTAGTGATAGAGTGTGTGTGCGTGTGTGTGTGTTTGTGTGCGTGCGTGTGTGTGTGTCGGAGTGTGTGTGCATGCGCGCATTTATCAGTCTGGTCCCTTTTTGTTGAGGAGACGAATGGCTTGTGGAAAGAAGCTGTTGCACAGTCTGGATGTGTGTGCCCGAATGCTTCGGTACCTTCTTCCAGATGGCAGGAGTGTGAAGTGTGTGAAAGGGGTGTGACCAATCAGCCACAATGCTTGTTTAGTTTGGAAAATGAGAAACATCATTTGTTCTTACTGAACAGAGTTTCAGACACGATGTAAAACATCTTTACTATCTTGTCTGTTGTACCACTGAACAGCCTCAGACTGTAGACCAACAGGGCTGATGATCTAACTGCTAGTCTTGATGCACCTTACACTAAAGTGTCATTTTTGCGCCACCAGTTGTGTTTTTGGCCTTTGGGAGAAACCAGACCCAGAGAAAACCCAGGCATGCACGCAGAGATCATGCTAACTCCACAAAGAAACACAGCCGCTGGGATTCTAACATGTCCTTCCCACTGCAAGGACGCCGTGTCCCCATGCACCCCCCATTCTCACAAACCTCCCGGAAGATTGAAGTTGGGCTCTGATGGCAACAATCTGCCGTCGACAAGCTATAAATCGTTCAGTCCGTCCAAATGGACCACTGTCTAAAGAGCGTCACTGGAGTCATAAAGCAGACCAAGTTCACCAGATCTTTTCAATACATTTCAGAGTACCTCTACATAGGCTGAAATTCCAGCGCCACGCCTACAAGATTTGCCCACAGACCCAGACGCACGGAAGTGCTAAGAGCGCAAGTCCTTACCGGACAACGCACAGCAGCGAAACTGTCTCCAGTTGCAGGAGATAGAAGTTAGTGAGAAGAGAGCTGAGCAGAATACAGCAGGATTTAGGTTCTCATTTCCTAACGTAAGGAAATCTCACCTCCGACTGACTAACAGCAACACAACTCTGCCACTGACTCTGTTTGATGTTTTATCTCCACAAATAACGGGTCTGAAGGAGTTCTGCCTTGTTGTGGAGTTGCTAATGTTAATGGTTGGCGTCTACTAGAGGAGATGTTCTCGGCTGTTTTCTGGATGGTAAACCAACAACAGCCTTCCTCATCACAAACCAAGATGGGAGACTCCATGAATGTTACGTGACAGTGTGATGTCGATCTGTCAAGACTTTCTAATCCTAGAGTTTTAGCATCTGTTTTCTATCAGAAGCTAATGCAGGAGATAGGCGTAGGAGACTATTTTCATGTTCAGCCTGAATGTTAAATTCAGAAAGGCCGCTCATATTTTAAAAATAACAATTTCTCAGTGAACTTGTTTTATCAAGTTTAGATTTAAAAAAAGCACCAGGCATCAAGGAAAAATCTGTTTAAATAGAAAAAACCATCCATTGTGAAACAATGTGTTTTAGCTGTGTTTGGCAGCTAGAGGTGTGCGTTCATGAACAAGAAGCGTTGCGTAAAACCGGAAGTGAAAACAGCAGCATAAGGTGAACATTTGTCAGCCACTAGATGGCGCCATCGGCTAAAAAAATACTCTGGACTGTAGCTTTAATTTGATCCCCGGGTGCCGTACAAATGGCAGCCCACTGCTTCTCAGGGGTGGGTCAAAGAAATCCCACAGGGTCTAAAAGTTGTTTTCCAGAAAAAAAGTCATCAGATGTTAAAAGCATCAGGTATCTGGAAAACCCTAGACAAATCAGAATCAGATAAGAACATTTGGTGTGGAATAATCATGTTTTATCCTGAATCCTGATGCTTTTTGTCTAAAGCCTGCAATCTCGGTCCACTTCATCTAAAGTCTGTAGATGTTTTCCTGAGACCTAAAGAGGTCCTAAAATGGGTACTAATCAGAAGCTAATGTCTTTAGAAAATACCAGTGTGTGTAAGTAGTGTTATACACTCTTCTGTTCATTTCTCTTCTCATGAAACCACATGTTTAGAGATTGCACAAGCTGCCATTTCTCTGCTTCTATCAAACACCGTGGTTTCAGAGAGTCGTAATTTACCCCAAAATACCCACAACTGTGCCTGAGAGTCTGCACAGTATCGCAACCACGAAAACAGCACTAAGACTGCATCACACACACACACACACACACACACGGGTGAAATGAGTCATGCCACTGTTGTTGTTAACTCTTCATTGGGTAAACAAATCAGCTCCCAACAAACCCACTCAGATTGATTTAAGAGTCCTTGAATCACCTTGGAAATACAAACTAACCACCTGTAACCCATGTTTATGAAAAACTTTCTTTTATATGTGTCCCACACTCTGTGAAAGACGTGAAAAATATCACTCAGGAGTGCTCCTTTAAAGTCACGTCTCGTATGTTGTGCCTGTGACTCGACAGGAACTCTACCTACTGCATGAAAGTGTCCATGTCCATGAAGGTGGACGAGAGCGACGAGGGGAAATGCTACAGCAGTAAGATCCGCCACCTAGAGAAAGCCGAGGTAACACACAGTAAAATGATCAACTGCCCTGATATCGAGGACTACATGGCTCCATACAAGCAGCCGCAGATGACCTGGTACAAGGTATGATCCAGTCACAGAGAAGCACTCGGAATGTCACTGCTGTTCTTGAATCTGCGCCTTCTGTGTTTCCTTACAGGAATGTGAGACGGTGGAATGGAGAAGCTCTATCTCTGTCAACACCACACACGTCTGGATTCCTGAGGTGGAGGAAGGTGATGGGGGGAATTACACCTGTGAGTTACAGTATGGATCCAGAGTGGTGCGACGGACAACTCAGCTTAAAGTTACAGGTAGGAAGCGGGCCGGGATTATCTGGGACAAAGCCTCACCTCTATATGAAAATTATTCATTTGTTCGTCTTATGCTGGCGTGACGGGGTATTATTACAACAAAGCTCAAATTTAGGTTCGAGTATTCTTCATTTGGCCCTTTACTCTTAGCAGCAGTTCCTTGAAAATTAAGTCAAGACAATTCAATAGATTTGAAAGCTCTGATTGATGATTAGAGCATTTCCGACATACTTCCACAGAGACCAGAGATCTTAACACATGACATATGGCAGGAATATCTGATAAGATTATCTTTAGAAACTTTACAGTATTGAGGCTTGTCCTTAAAACTGCAATGGAAAAACGGCAAAACAAGCTAGCTTTTGAACACAAACATGGTCACAGAACTCTCACCGCTACTGTTGGATATCAGCTCTAGGCCACACCCCCGATATGGGAACTCGCATTGCCAGAGTAAACAAGAGAGCGCTAAACTCCAGACACCATTTTCTAGGTCCAAACGTCTTTTGTTGTCCGTGACGTCAAATGGTGTTTTTCTTTTTGGGACTCTGGTAGTTTGCCCTAAAGCTGAAGTGGTAGCAGCCGGCTGTTTCTCCTTCTCTGATATTATTGAGCGGAGAACCTCACACACCAGTGGTGTTCTGTTGGTAAAGCACATAACGACCAAGGTAAATGCAGAAAAGTGGTGGTTTGGTGAGACCGACAACCATCTGGTCCAATAATTGGTTTCAGACCAAGCCGTTGTGTTTGGCTTAAGTTTTTAGACGAATGTGAGAGAACCACTTTATCGTTTAATCTCCACCATATATTGGTAGCTGTACTATGTTAGACTGTTGTTAAGAAGAATGAACAAGAAATGAAGCTAGTTTGTTTTGCAGAGTAACTATTGTAACTTTAAGATTGTCAGAAGGGTCTAAAGATTGACATTAATGTCTTGCCATATAAAAGGGCTTAAGACACAAACTTCTAATAACTACCCTTTGTAAAAAAAAAACGTCCAACCAATCATTTAATATGTAACAGATCTCTTGACTCCAGAGCATCAATTCCTCTGACAGATATCTCGACTCAGCAGCACATCATTCATCATTACTACAGCACTTCTAAAGTTTCTTTGGTTAAAAGTCCACAAATGTATTCTAAAAGCAGAGAGTTCCCTTAAATCACTGTCTTCCTAGTGAGCATTCACATTGGGTCGGTTCCTCCGAATCCCGTGAAGTAGAATCACAGACTATTTTCAGCTTCAGTGACTTTTGACTTTACGTAGACTCGTCAGTAACATCTGCACTCTGCTGTTATGAGGCTGAATTATGTTGCTCTATATTTCATGGAGATCTGTTGTGCCCAGTGGGGTTCCTACACTTTTTTCTTTGTTTGATTGTTTTTGTCTCAAATATTTGCTTCATTTTAATGCTGAATGTGAATATCTTGTGTGTAGATGATAACACACACTTTGATGTGGCATGTCAAGCTGCATGTCAGTGCAGCATCCTTTTGGTGAGTCAGTTTCAGGCTCCATGTTTGCTTCACATGTTGCAGGTCTAAAATCTATGCTTCTTTCATCTGGAAATTCATGCTGCAGCTTCCTCCTGCAAAGTGGAGCTCACATGAACAGGCACTGCTTTATTTTATGATAATTATTCACCCCTACATTACCTGACTTTTCTCCTTTTATGTAAAGGAAATGAGTGTGAGAAGTCCAACCCTTTCTTCGACGTTACCTCACCGTCTCAACCTTAATGCACCATCTATAAAGGACTATTAACATGGTTGGGGTTAGCTCTAAGTTTGCTTATTATATTGAAAAACAAAAATATACAACTTTGTAGATCTGTGCTCTCCTACATCCAGAAACATGACTTGTTTAAAGCAAAATATCCTTCTGGGTGTTGTTTTTTATCCAAATCCTTGTTCGAGCAGTGAAAATGCATCACAGGAAGTTTTATTTTCTCTGATAGATTCATTCCGTGTAAGAAACACATCAAAGAACTGCTGACAATGGTCTGCTTTTAGGCACAGAATTTTTAATCTGCTTTATTATGTATCCGAAATTGTTTAGCCTAAAATACACCAGAAAAAATTGCACCCGTGAAAATTCAACAAAAAAAAAAAATATCAGCATAAAAATTTCCATCCATCCACCCATCCATTTTCTGAACCCGCTTGTCCACGTAGGGTCGCGGGGGGGTGGGGGGTGGGGGGGGGGGGCTGGTGCCTATCTCCAGCGGTCAATGGGCAATCAGGCGGGGTACACCCTGGACAGAGAGCCAGTCCGTCGCAGGGCAACACAGAGACACACAGGACAAACAATCATGCACACACTCACACCTAAGGACAATTTAGACAGACCAATCAACCTAACAGTCATGTTTTTGGACTGTGGGAGGAAGCCGGAGAACCCGGAGAGAACCCACGCATGCACAGGGAGAACATGCAAAGTTTCATCCACAGAAATTTTAAAAAGAGCCAGCGACATCCTGGTGACCCAAGCCACAGCAATCATCACTTCACTGAGTCAACACATCACTGGTGTCATGTGATCAGATAAGCTTAATTTGATTGGCTAAACGCCACTCGACTCGATCACAGGACAGTTACGTTGGCTCGGGTCACCAGGAGATTTTTGCTGATAAAATTCTTCAGTAGAATATTTATGGATGGAAATTTTGCTGTTGTATTTCATGGTAAAAAAAATTCAAATACACAATGTCTCAGAATAAAAATTAATTGTCGTAAAGTTAAAGTCCCACACTAGTGAAATTACATCTCTGCATCTGACCCATCCCCATGGGGAGCGGTGAGCTGCAGTAGGCATGGCCGCGCTCGGGAACTATTGAGTGGTTTAACCCCCCCAATTCAACCCCTTAAAGATGAGTGTCAAGCAGGGAGGCATAGGGAGACTAAGTCACGTCCATCTACTTCCGGACCACGGGTCCCCCGGAAGAACGAAAAAATGGATGCAAGTCAATAGGGCTAAAAAACGCTATTATCTAAATCCGCTTGTTATGTTCCATGGATTTGACAAATGATTTCTGTGAATTTTAAACACATTTTGACATCAAGAACGTGCTGATGTCTGAACGGGGGAAACGTTATTTTAGGTTTTGTGTGAAAATAAGTCCAAGACTACAAATGTGCATCACCAAAGTGCCGTCATCGAACCAGACACGGAGAAAAACAAAGAAAATTGCTGTAAGCTCAGCGGACTTCAAATCCTTCCTTCAGGAGGAAAGAACCACCATAAATCTGGCCATGTGGTGAGTAGCAGCTAGGCTAGGGGGGAGGAGATTCTGTGGTGACGTCATATATGAGATGTCCCAACGTCTGGTTTGGAGTCATGCTAATTGCGAACATTTACAAGCTGATGAATGTCAAAGTACGTGACTGGTGTGGTCGAAACACATATCATTACTTTTGATTTAAATATAAGTACAACATATGAGTGATCCAGGGCGTAAGGCAAAGCAGATTAGAAAATAGTACTTTTCGCCCCGTTGACATGCATTCATTTTTTCGTTCTTCCAGGGACCCATGAGCCGACCAGAAAGGTTCCCTACAGTGTCCCATTTTTAAGGTCTTTGGTATGACCCAACTGGGATTTGAACCCGATCTCCTAGTCCCATGGCAGACACTCACACAACTAGAACACTGAGAAGCTGATCCAGTGTCTAAAAAAAAGAGTCATATTCTGGTGAGACTGTGTATCCTTGGTAGTTTTTTTATAATCCGGAGGAACCTTCCTAATCCAGAGTTTCAGGCTTCCAAATTCACACCAGTTCAATTGTGCACGTCCACCAAAAAAGTTCAGGCTGACAAAACCCATTAGTGATCCTCAAAACACAAGGACAGTGTTTCGCTCATGTTAATGTTTAAAACGCTGGAACTCTTCCGTTTAAAGCCCAACTGAGAAGTTAAGTTAAGACTTTTTTTGACATTTTCTGAAGGTCTTCCAACTGTGTTTTGGGATTTTTGCTGCTTTCCTACTCCTTATTACTGTATTCTTATTTATCAGCTTTTACTATGTATTAGATATGTGCCATTTTTAATTCCTTGTTTTATCCTCGCAAAGTTTTTGCATGTTTTTAATGTGTTTTAACTTTGTGCCGTAATTATTGTTGTAAATGTGCAATAGAAATACATTTGACCTTAACATATAACCTTTAGAGACTGTATCAACAACCAGCCTCGCCTTCAAATTTGATTTGAATCTAAAAAATGAATGAACCCATGAATCTAAAATAAGGTTTTGGTAAATTAGTCTGACACAGAAAACAGGCTTGGAGCAGCAAACATGTCAACAACAGCATGGCACACTTCTCAGGTCCTGAGAAAAGGTGGGTATTTTACCCAACGATCGATTGTTTTATGACAGAATAACATTAATATTTAACTTTACACTCAATTAAATCACAGATTTTTACACACACTTAGTTTATTTTAGTTACTATTTTCCATAAAAAATGACTATGAAATGTATTCCATGAAACAAGTCAAATAAAACCCATGAAAGGATTATAAAATAACAAAGAACCCGTGAGGTTTAATAGATGGTTTGTTGTTGCCTGAAGACAAAGAAAGAAAGGATTATCTCGTCATGAGACCCAAGCGTATTATTGAGTTTCACGTCAGCGGCTGAGTTCTTCTCAGCAGGTAAATCCGCTTGTTTCTATCGGAAATGTTTTCTAAATGAGCTTCGGCTGAACTCATGGGGCTGGAGAAAGCCATTAAAGCAGTATGATCACGAGTGACCGGTCGTGTGTGTGTGTGTGTGTGTGTGTGTGTGTGTGTGTGTGTGTGTGTGTGTGTACTCCTGTCAGACTCATACCACACACGCCGACTGCTGTGAGGCCAATTTATCCTCCCCGTTTAGGAAAACAGAAGCTTCCTCTGACAGTGTCGTCTCGGCCCCGCCCTCCCTCCGTCTGTTTCCTGTTACGACACCGCCTCTACCTTGGCCTCCTCCAGGCTGGCCCGGTTCTCTCAGCAGCACATTCACTCAC